TCATGGTTTGGCCCTGTTTTGCTGAATCTGGGCCAGGACGACTTGCCATCATTGATGGAACAATGAATTCTGAATGCAGCAAATTCTAAAGGAAAACATCAAGACATCTCTTCGAGAACTGAATCTCAAGAGAAAGCAGATCATGGAGCAAGATAACAACCCCAAGCATACAAGTATTTTTACCAAATAATGGTTTAATAAGAACAAAGTTAATGTTTTTGAATGACCAAGTCAAAGTCCAGACCTCAATCCAACTGAAATGTTGTGTAAGGACCTGAAACAAGCAGTTCATATGAGGAAACCCACCAACATCACAGAGTTGAAGTGGTTCTGTACTGAGGGGCTAAAACTCCTACAAGATGTTGTGCAGGGCTGCGTTTCTCAAATGCATCATAAGCCTAAGCAGATCATAAAAACGATCGTACGACTGATCTTAGTACAACGGTCTTTTCCCAAAATCATCGTAACTTAAGTAGCACTTGAAAATCATCGCAGATCTACGAGTGCTCTTGAGTAAGTGCATCATAAGAACAGTTATGAGGTCACCTGCTTTAACATTATTCAAGTGCATATAAGGTTTTGATTGTACTTCTCTTTATTACTCTTTTATTATTTAAATGAATAAAAAAAAGGAAAGAAAATGAAAAAATAAAAATATACATAAATATGTATACATAGAGCAGTGCTGATAAAACATGTCTGCAATAAACGTTTTTGTCTGTACCTGTAGAAATGTTTTGGCTAGATCAAGTACAAATATTTGTGCTACTATCACCCTTAATATATACACTTTATATATTAATAATATCTAAACTTACAAGTTTATGTTTGAAAATAACCATCAACCATTAGTCATTCACTTCAGAAACACTTGGAAGAACTCATAAGAATTCTTATGATATTTCATAGGGTCTTAGGCCTTGGGTGGTTCAACAAACACATGGCCATCAAAAACTTTGAATCAACATGTTTTTCTTGATTTGAGTCAATGAGCTGCTGTTGAAAATTGTTGTTCCTCTTACTGGCCTCTTTAAGACATTGTCTAATGTCTTTCAAGACATATCTCCAGCTGCACTGACTACAACCACAGACATTCTCAAACTGCTGAGGTGTTGTGGCTGCGGTCTGGACAACTGAAGATGTAGGCTGAGGCCTGTGAGGGTTGTTTGGAGTACTAGGAGATGGTTGGTGCTGGGAGATGGCAGGTGAAACTGATCGCTCCTCTGAGCATGAAGGACCTGACTCAGGCTCAGGTTGAGGCATCCCTACTCCTCCATGGAGGTTAATACCACCATACATGCCATCTGAAGTATTGACAAGGCCTTTTGTTCCTTTGCTGTGAGTAGAAGGGGAGAGTCATTGGTCCAACCACCTGTTTTTTTTTATTGCCATCCTCTGCAGTGCCCTTCCTTTATTCCAGGCTTGCAGAGTCCTGCCACTTCTTGCAGACCTCCTCCCCTGATCTCTTAACACGCCTGGTTGCAGTTAATTTTGTAGCAAAGTCCTCACATGTTTTGTTTTTCCTTATTTGTGTGGTCTCCTTTAAATCTGCTGAAAATTACATCTTTGTTTCGCTCTACCTCCTCCATAAGAACATTAATTTCATTTTTTTAAAGGAATTGTATTTCTAATCCACATCAGGTGACGACTATTCAGTTCAAGGATACGATTCTATAAGGTAATATTTTAGCACTTGACAAACGGACAGCGACTCTTAAGTAGCACGTAGAACGCGTTCTCGCGTGTTCATGTTAAATGCATTTTTGGGAAACGCACGTGGAATTGCGGCAAGCGTTCGTAACCTCGCAAGTAGAGAGCGCTCTTTAGAGTTAAGGTCCATCGTTATTGAGAAACCCAGCCCAGGACTGATCAGCAGTTACAAGAAACTTTACCTGCAGTAATAGCTGCAAAATGAAGTCACACCAGATACTGAAAGCAAAGATATGTAATAATGGATTGTTTTTCTCAATAAATAAATGACAAAGAAAATATTTGTATCTCCTTTGTTTATCTGATGATATTTTGTGTCATATTTATGTAGAAATATAGAAAATTCTAAAGGCTTCACAAACTTTCAAGCAGCACATTTGTAGTCACATCACCAATTTTGTTTAAGGACGTCTAGAATCAAGGGGTGGCTCAACTTCCCCAGAGGCTATATATACTGTATATAACGATTGAACGAACTTGATGTGAACATTTCTAAATAGTTTCTGTTAGATTTACCTAACCACAAAATGAGCCAAAGCAAGAATACAAACAAGTCGAACTGCCGAAAAGATTAAATGTTTAAAGATAAAAACATACCTGAGAAACATTCTCTATTCCCTCGGCAAAATCATTAAGATCATCGGCGGATTGAGTCTTTTTCAGAGTCAGGTCAGCAGTCAGTGTGCCCTCATTATAAGATCTGACGAACTTGAAGTCACTAGTGCGCGAGCCCGTGGTCAGGTATGCGTCATAATTGTAAGTGCTGCGGAGAGTTCCCGCGCCCTCCACCTCTGCGTAATTTGGAGGAAGATACGCGCTGGGAATGGCTACAGCTCCATCAAACAACAGTCTGGGCTTTCTCCTGCGACAAAACCTCACGGCCAGGATGATGATGATGAAGGTCTGCACATTAATGATGCCAACCTCTGTACCGGGTAACGCATTCTCGGGAATCGGGCTATTCAGTGACTTAATTAGTATACTTGGGGAATTATCATTGATGTCAGATATCTCAATAACAACAGTTGCATGAGATACCATCCCCAGTCCATCTGTGGCTTGAATAGGAAGCTCAAAGGATGACTCGTCCTCATAGTCAAGAGACCCTATTAATGTAATTCTGCCATTACTTGGGTCGAGTGAAAAAACCATCATGTCACTTTCTGAAATATGGCCAAATTCATAAGTCACTTCTCCATTTTGTCCCTCGTCAGCATCAGTAGCGCTCACTGTCACCACTACAGTATCTAGAGGAGAATTTTCAGGCAGACTGACTTTATAGACGGTCTGACTAAAGACTGGAGCATTATCATTAGCATCCAGCACAGAGACGTGTATGGCTACAGTACCTGATCTCGGTGGAGTCCCGCCGTCTACCGCAGTGAGAATTAATGTCACTTCCTGTTGTTGTTCACGATCTAATTCTTTATTAAGTACTAGCTCGCCATACATCTTCCCTGTTGCTTTTGCAGCAACAGCCAATTCAAAATATGTATTCTGCCCTAAATTATACGTTTGAACCGAATTAGTCCCTATGTCTGCATCGTGAGCCTCCTCGAGCAAAAAACGAGCACCTTTTACAGCCGACTCTGTGATCTCAAATTTTATTATATCTTTTTTAAAGACAGGGGTATTGTCATTTACATCTTGAACGTTTATGTTAATGCGATGAGATTCAAGATGATTTTCCAAAACCAGCTCCTGTTTTATAACACACAAAGCTTTCTTTCCGCAAAGTCCCTCTCTGTCGATTCTCTCCGCTACGATCAGTTCTCCAGTATTCAGATTAATGTCGCAGTATCGTTTTCTGTTACCTTCAGTATCAATTCGAGCCTTACGAAATGACAGTGTGTTCACATCGAGCCCGAGATCCTTCGCTATATTTCCAATCACAAATCCGCGTTTCATCTCCTCCGGAACAGAATAGCTCACCTCTCCATAAGCGGTGTGCAACACAATGGGGGAGAAGAGAAAAGCCCGCAGACTGAATGAAACCAATAACGTCCACTTGTTATTCATTTTCGCTTGAGAATGATGAATATGTTTGGTTAAATATATCCTGTCCCATAAAATACTCCGAAGTTTCAGCACATAGGCCTACTTAAGCGAATGCTCCCGAACATGTATATGGCGTCAATAATAAGCGGCAGTACAAAGGGGAATAGCAATATTTCAGGGTGGAGAAATAACAACCACTTTACTTTGCAGGTGCACAGCGACACCGTGAGGGAAAAAATCGGACATTTTGTATTTTATGCTACAATACATGCACAATACTGAAATTGTATTTAATACTTTGTAACATTATGCCTTTAAAATAGCCTAACAGATCTTTTCCCCACAGCACATTTTGATATTTTACCTTTTCAGAGAGAAAATAGTTATCTAAAATATTTCCCTCAATGTTCTATCGAGAAATACAATACCACCTCAAAATGATAGACATACTGAAACGAAGCGTCACATTTCAGGAGAGAACAATCGGCTTAAATGTACTAAACGACATGGGAGACCCAATTCTCTCTCACATTTTCCTAGTCAGAAGCACTAGCTACAGTCACTACAATGACATCCTAATAGAAAACAGCTACAGAGAGAGAAGTGAAACAAACAAACACTTAACGTGGCTTAATGTACTGACAGTTGCACCGAAAGCCTAATTTAGTCTGGAACCTAACTGACAATAAAAAAACATCTACAAGCTAACTGATGAGCCAAGACTCTTAAGTTCAACATGATAAAAGTTTTCTCTATTCTTTTCTCTATCAGAAAATGCTAATACAATTAAATACAAGCAAAATGGGGTGTGGAAAAATATATATATATATATATATTGGCTGTTTATTCTCCGCAGTCCTTTATTTTAAACATTTCACTGAACCACAAATAACATTTTTTATAAACCATGTGCCACAATTATTGGCACCCCTTGAAATTTTTATCAGTAACAGAAGTATATTGTTATTAAAGTTGTGTTTTTTTTTTTTTTTTTTTGAGTGATTAATGATGAGGTGCACAAAACAGGAAATGACTGTGAGAAAATAAAGGTTGAAAATGTCCATTTCTACTATCAAGTCCGTAAATAAAAGCCAATTAATAAATTAGGTCAATAAATAAATTACATAATCTGGACACCAAACATATGCGGAAAAAAATTAAATATTGAATTATAACAATACATTTATTCTTTCAATTATTTCCTTTAAACGGTAAGGTTAGATTATTGTAAATATTCTGAATGAAATAACAAGATATTGAACAGCAAAAACACTTCACCAATATTTAACAGCTTAATTTAACTATGAAAACAGAAACAATAAGGAAATACAGATTAAGCACAAAACCAAAAGTAATAATTTAAAGACAAGCAGCCCACCCCCCCTCCCGAAATCTACTACATTATTTTTGTCTTGATGAATTTGTATTTAAGAGTATCACTGCATGTCTTTTACCTGTCTATAGGGAAACACCTGAATATTAAAAACAATTATATATATAATAATAATAAAAACAGCAATCAGCTTTATAATGCACAATCATTACTTAAAGTGTACCTGGGAAGTTTCAACTTTATTGCCAAGGTCATCCAGTATATTCTCAACAGACTGAGTCGTGTTCAGAGTCAGGTCAGCAGTCAGTGTGCCCTCATTATAAGATCTGACGAACTTGAAGTCACTAGTGCGCGAGCCCGTGGTCAGGTATGCGTCATAATTGTAAGTGCTGCGGAGAGTTCCCGCGCCCTCCACCTCTGCGTAACGGGGATATTCAAAGATTTAGTAATGATAACCGGTGCATTGTCATTAACATCTGTAATTTCTATTATTACCAATGAGTACGAGGTTAAACCTGCAGAATCTTTTGCTAAAACACGCAACTCATACACCGATTTCTCCTCATAATCCGTTGATCCAATAACAGTTATATCTCCAGTGTTGCGATTCAGTAAGAATGAGGTCTTATCTTCTTCCGAAACATGACCAAATGCATACGAGACCTTTCCATTTTGTCCCTCGTCAGCATCAGTAGCGCTCACTGTCACCACTACAGTATCTAGAGGAGAATTTTCAGGCAGACTGACTTTATAGACGGCCTGACTAAAGACTGGAGCATTATCATTAGCATCCAGCACAGAGACGTGTATGGCTACAGTACCTGATCTCGGTGGAGTCCCGCCGTCTACCGCAGTGAGAATTAATGCTACCTCTTTCTGCTGCTCACGATCTAACTCTTTATTTAATACCAGTTCACAGTATTTCCCTGCTAAATCGTTTGATTTAAAATATAAAACGAAATTTTCATTGCTTTTCAAAGTATAAGACAGAACTGCATTGTTTCCTATATCCGGATCGTGCGCTTCCCCAAGCAAAAACCGTTCTCCTTTGTCCGCTGATTCCCTGATCTCCATTCTGATAACATCCTCGTCAAAATGTGGAGAGTTATCATTTATGTCATCAATGTGTAAACTAATTCGATGCAATTCTAAAGGATTCTCAAGCATAAGTTCTTGTTTCAGAACGCATGATGCTTTCTTTCCGCAAAGCCCCTCTCTGTCGATTCTCTCCGCTACGGTCAGTTCTCCAGTATTCAGATTAATGTCACAGTATCGTTTTCTGTTACCTTCAGTATCAATTCGAGCCTTACGAGATGACAGTCTGTTCACATCGAGCCCGAGATCCTTTGCTATATTTCCAATCACAGATCCGCGTTTCATCTCCTCCGGGAAAGAATAGCTCACGTCTCCATAAGCGGTGTGCGCCATCATGACATAAAAGCAGAGCGAAAGCTCTATAACAAATCCTGCGTTTCTCTTCATTTTCAAACAGTCTCATCCAGCGTGAAAAAAGTGAAATAGTTCAGACCAAAAAGGTGCCAAAATCAGTGGGAAACCTCGAATTAGCAAACAAATAAAATATACAATGTCGACTGCTCTCTCTTCTCTGCAACAAACAGCTTTTTATAAATGAGAAAGTGGGTGGGAGAATAATATTTGTCTTTGCTACAAAGGTATACAGCGACACCATGAGGCTGTAGGGAAGATTGGCTGTATATTCTGTTAAACCACTTCCTCTATAAATACATGGTCTGCCGTTTACAGAAAATATTGAAAGCAATATGTATTGTACACTCTAAAAAATGCTGGGTTAAATACAACCCAGCGTTGGGTAAAAATGGACAAACCCAGCTATTGGGCTGCTTTGACCCAGTGGTTGGGTTACTACACAGAAGTTTGGGTTAAAAAATGTAACCCAACCGCTAGGTCAAAACAACCCAGTTGCTGGGTTTGTCCATATTTCACCCAACGCTGGGTTGCATTTAACCTAGCATTTTTACAGTGTATATATATCGAGAGCTACTATATGCAGTAATGCGGTAAGCAAGTACAGTACTTCAGCACCATGAACAGCAATACTAATGTATTTGAAATAAGTTATTACAGAGAGCAGCTTTTTATAAATGAGAAAGTGGGTGGGAGAATAATATTTGTCTTTGCTACAAAGGTATACAGCGACACCATGAGGCTGTAGGGAAGATTGGCTGTATATTCTGTTAAACCACTTCCTCTATAAATACATGGTCTGCCGTTTACAGAAAATATAGAAAGCAATATGTATTGTACACTCTAAAAAAATGCTGGGTTAAATACAACCCAGCGTTGGGTAAAAATGGACAAACCCAGCTATTGGGCTGCTTTGACCCAGTGGTTGGGTTACTACACAGAAGTTTGGGTTAAAAAATGTAACCCAACCGCTAGGTCAAAACAACCCAGTTGCTGGGTTTGTCCATATTTCACCCAACGCTGGGTTGCATTTAACCTAGCATTTTTACAGTGTATATATATCGAGAGCTACTATATGCAGTAATGCGGTAAGCAAGTACAGTACTTCAGCACCATGAACAGCAATACTAATGTATTTGAAATAAGTTATTACAGAGAGGCATTAAAGTTCCAGGAGAACGAAATATTTTAATATTTCTTGAAATTCCATCACAGTGTATGGATACACTTAAATCCCTAATGGCAAACTCACATACAAACAAAATGCATCATGAAAGGGAACAAAAGGCTACATTATACTTCTGTGCAAAACACCACTAATTTACTTTTATGGCTACATATCTGAACATGAAAACACGAGTCTGACAAGCACACATACTGGTTAAAAGAGAACCTATCACGTTATGGAAAAAAAAACAAACGAAGAACTAAAAACAGCAGCAACAAAGCAACATTAGGGTCAAGTGATTTAAATGTCTAAAAACAAATTAATAGACAAACATATGAGATTCCAGCAACCCATTGTAAAAACAAATGGCAGTAATAACGTAAATAACTCGGTATAATAACAAGTGTGATATTTTTATAAAATGTCATAACACTGGAGTAGATGGTTGACTCATACCTGGTCCAAACATGAAAAACAACAGCAAACACCTTAAATGAAGAGCAATATCCTAGTGCAGTTTTGACTGTAAGGCACCAAAAACTTAGAACAAATGGTGATTTAATGTTTACATTTCATATTTGATGTCCATGTGGCAGGCAGGGCCCTGTATCATTCCTGTATATGTCTGGAAGAATCTGACTGTAGTAGAACTTGACAATGACATCTAATGAAAGGTCTTTCCAGAAGAGCTGGCATAGCAGCAAACAGAAGGAATAATGCTTTCAAATATAAACTTTCAGCAAGACACAAAAGCACTACTGAGGTCAGGCACTGATGTTTGGCGATGGGTCCAGATACACTGTTACAAAAGGTGTTCAATAGGGTTTCAGGTTTGGACTTTGTGAAGGTCAGGCAAGTTCTTCCCCACCAGAGTCTGTAATGCCATTCTATGGTGAAACTAAGATTTGCTTTCACTGTAATTAATATAGAATCACTTAATCTGTTAATCAGCTGGAGGGTTTTCCATCACATTAGACAGATGTATACATATGGTTGATTACTCAATTTGACTCATTTGACCTCATGGAATCTTGGAAATATAACTCTTCAATCTATGAAAACATTTATCACATGCCCTAAAAGATTTTATGGATACAAAAAAAAAACTTTAAATGGATATAGTATGATGATCAATTAAAATAAACAACCCTTCTCTATAAATAACAAAATGCAACTCCGCTGCCCTGGCATAAATGTGCACTGCTGTGCCTGGGATTTCTAATTTCTCTGATAACCGAAATTCTATAATTAATTACTGAAGGATTGTTAATGACAAATTGCGAATCTGAATACCATTTTAATGGAAATAATATTTTCCAAGAAACAGTTCTTCAGGAAAAGTACAAAGTATGTGTTCCTTATTTCCTTACAAAAGTTAAAATAAACAAGAAAAAGTTTGGGTAGACTAAAAGCATAAGAGTACAATTCTGACAAAACCCACTAATATGCTATTCACAATACCGGGGGACTCTAAAAACAAGGGCATTTAAGCACAGACGCCCAAAGAACCATATACAACCATTAAGGACAAAATGAAAACGCCTACCTCGGAAAAAGGAATGCTCAAACCATAAAGCCCTTCAAGATCATCCACAGTGGATTGAGTCTTTTTCGGAGTCAGGTCAGCAGTCAGTGTGCCCTCATTATAAGATCTGACGAACTTGAAGTCACTAGTGCGCGAGCCCGTGGTCAGGTATGCGTCATAATTGTAAGTGCTGCGGAGAGTTCCCGCGCCCTCCACCTCTGCGTAATTTGGAGGAAGATACGCGCTGGGAATGGCTACAGCTCCATCAAACAACAGTCTGGGCTTTCTCCTGCGACAAAACCTCACGGCCAGGATGATGATGATGAAGGTCAGGAAGAAAGTGGAAACGGACACCAGCGCGATGATCAAATAAAACGTCAGTTTGGAGACATCAGAGGACAACAGAGAATAAACTACAGTGCCATTCTGTCTCCAGTCCGGGTCTGTAGCTGATACTGAACAAATAGAGGAGCCCGGTTTGTTATTTTCTTGCACATGAGCTCTGTAACTCTGCTCCTGAAATACAGGTGGATTATCATTCACGTCAGCTACAGTCAGGTGAATATTCTTAGTGGAAGATAAAGGCGGAGAGCCCTCATCAGTAGCAGTAATTGTAATATTATAATCAGAGAGCAGCTCGCGGTCTAATTCACCTGTGGTCACCAGAGAATAGTAATTTTTGATTGAAGGTATGAGTTTAAATGGGACGTTTTGCTGAATGGAGCAGCGCACCTGTCCGTTATTCTCAGAGTCTCTGTCCTGCGCATTAATGATGCCAACCTCTGTACCGGGTAATGCATTCTCAGGAACAGGGCTATTTAAAGACTTAATCACTATAATGGGGGCATTGTCATTAACATCTGTAATTTCTATGATTACTTTAGTGTCCGATGAAAGACCAGAGCCATCCTTTCCCTCAATAAGCATTTCATACCTTGATGCCATCTCAAAATCAATGGGGCCTTTAACTTTAATCTCCCCATTGTTTGGATCTAGAGAAAATAGTACGTTGGCATTTTTCGAAATTCGACTAAATTCGTATGTGACTTCTCCATTTTGTCCCTCGTCAGCATCAGTAGCGTTTACTGTCACCACTACAGTATCTAGAGGAGAATTTTCAGGCAGACTGACTTTATAGACGGCCTGACTAAAGACTGGAGCATTATCATTAGCATCCAGCACAGAGACGTGTATGGCTACAGTACCTGATCTCGGTGGAGTCCCGCCGTCCACCGCAGTGAGAATTAATGTCAGTTGTTTTTGTTGCTCACGGTCCAACTCTCTCTCTAACACTAACTCGATATTTTTGCCACCATCCGCCTTTGTACGTACAGATAAAAGAAAATGGTAATTATTTTCAATCGAATAGCTTTGTACTCCATTCTGTCCTATGTCCGCATCATGCGCCTCATTCACGCGGAACCGAGCGCCTTTACCAGATATCTCACTTATCTCAAGCTTTATTGTGTCTTTGGGAAAGGTCGGTGTGTTATCGTTGATATCCTGAATTTGTATTGTCACACGGTGTATCTCCAGTGGGTGTTCTAGAACTAATTCAAAATTAAGATCACAGGAAAGCCCCTCACTACAAATCTCCTCTCTGTCGATTCTCTCCGCTACGATCAGTTCTCCAGTATTCCGATTAATGTCGCAGTATCGTTTTCTGTTACCTTCAGTGTCAATGCGAGCCTTACGAGATGACAGTCTGTTCACATCGAGCCCGAGATCCTTTGCTATATTTCCAATCACAGATCCGCGTTTCATCTCCTCCAGAAAAGAATAGCTCACGTCTCCATAAGCGGTGTGCGCCATCAGCACGAAGAACAAAAAGGCAAACATCTGATGATTAAGCCAGAAGCTTTGAAAATCCATTTAGAAATATGCTTTAGACAAGATGCAATACAAAACGTAAATCTGAATACTACATCTACAATAATACACAAAATACTGGAAAAAAACGTAAGCGTCGACGATTTTCCATAAAAACGATCTAGAAGCACTGATAATGACATCACCAACAGGGTGGAGACAAGAACAATTTTTTTGTCAATGATATTACAGGTGAACAGCGACTCTAAGTGTTTAAACAAGAAACTGCATATTCAGTGCTCTAGAAGGAATAAGTTACGGTAGTATGTATGACTGAACAGCAACGATCACGGTAATGACTTTACAACATCAAGAGATTTTGACTGCTAACATTCTATTTTGGAGGATCAAGAAAAACTATTTTAGGGTATACCTAAAACCCACTGCTTCATAGAGAGTTACAAGGTATGAGAGGGGGAAACGCGATTCACACATTTCTTGAGCAGCACCATGGACAGCAACATTAAAACCAAATCAATTTCCACACGCAAGTGCACACCACACAAGTTTCAAAAGTTTGTGCAATGAGGTTTATACGTAAATGAAGCTACTAAAGAAATAACTTCATATTAAGGACACAACGATGAAACAGATGTGAAAACACTTGCTTTATCCTAAATATAAATTACAGATTTTCTCACTGATTTACTGAAAAATCAGAAAGAACCACCGAAATTAAGCGGACACTCAAATTAACATGCAAAGTTTAAATAAGTTCCACGATAGAAAAGTTTTAAAAACTCTCTAAATGATCTGCAAATTACGTTAGTCCGTTTGAAAACAAGGCATTAATCACAAATGGAAAAAGTTTTCACCAAAAAAAATCTAGTAACATTCTACATATACATCCCTTTTATAAAGAAACATGAACCTAACCTCTATGAACGCCGCTCATTTTGGAGGAAAAAAAAAGCTTACAGGCAAGCTAAAAAAAAAGTAAAGTAAATATATGAGAAAATCGCAAGAACAGTAAAACAACCGATAATAAAATTAATTTTTTTTTCTCCACATCAGATCGTTAAAGGTCATTGAAAACGAGAAAACACAAAAATTATTTTCAAATGCATTAAAAAAAACAAATAAATAAAAGGGGCAAATTCTTCTTTTAAGACTTGCGATACGTGACATTTTTAAGAGCCTGCTGCAAATCAAAGCGGTAAACTTTGAACACAAATACACTTCATATGGAAGCCCAGACCATTAACTAAACGATAAAACACTTTGTTAGCCCTACCTGAAACGGATCGTTCATTTCCGCATCGAGTCCTTCAAGATCATCCACAGAGGACTGAGTCTTTTTCAGAGTCAGGTCAGCAGTCAGTGTGCCCTCATTATAAGATCTGACGAACTTGAAGTCACTAGTGCGCGAGCCCGTGGTCAGGTATGCGTCATAATTGTAAGTGCTGCGGAGAGTTCCCGCGCCCTCCACCTCTGCGTAATTTGGAGGAAGATACGCGCTGGGAATGGCTACAGCTCCATCAAACAACAGTCTGACATTAATGATGCCAACCTCTGTACCGGGTAACACATTCTCAGGAATGGATATTTTAACATATTTACTCATTATTTTAGGGGCATTATCATTGACGTCAATAACATCAATTAATACAGAACAATGATTGGCTAATCCTTGACCATCCTTGGCCTGGATTTGCAGTTCAATTGAACTCTCCTCCTCATAATCAATGAGCCCTGTTAATTTAATTTCTCCAGACAACGAGTCGAGAGAAAATGTATCCATAAGGCGTTCTAATAAATGACCAAATTCATATGTCACTTCTCCATTTTGTCCCTCGTCTGCATCAGTAGCGCTCACTATCATCACTACAGTATCTAGAGGAGAATTTTCAGGCAGACTGACTTTATAGACGGCCTGACTAAAGACTGGAGCATTATCATTAGCATCCAGCACAGAGACGTGTATGGCTACAGTACCTGATCTCGGTGGAGTCCCGCCGTCCACCGCAGTGAGAATTAATGCTACCTCTTTCTGCTGCTCACGATCTAACTCTTTATTCAGCACGAGCTCGCCATATTTTCTTCCATTTTCACGCGTTAGTACACTAAGAAGAAAGTGTTCATTGTCTTGTATCACATATGATTGCACCGAATTCATACCAATATCCGCATCGTAGGCCTCATCTAATAAGTAACGAGATCCTTTTTCTGCAGACTCCCTTATTTCGAATTTGATCACACTTTGTTTGAATTGTGGTGAATTATCATTTATGTCCTGAATATTGAGAATAAATCGTTGCAGCTCTAAAGGATTTTCCAGCACGAGCTCCTGTTTAATAACACATGAAGCTTTCTTTCCACAAATCTGCTCTCTGTCGATTCTCTCCTCTACAATCAGTTCTCCGGTATTTAGATTAATATCACTGAATCGTTGTCGGTTATCTCCATTATCAATTCGTGCCTCTCGACTTGACAGTTTGTCCATATCGAGCCCGAGATCCTTTGCTATATTTCCAATCACAGATCCGCGTTTCATCTCTTCCGGAAAAGAATAGCTCACGTCTCCATAAGCGGTGTGCGCCATCAGCACAACAAAGAAAAATCCAACCATTTCAGCAACAACACAAAATGTTTAGATATCTACGTGGAAAGGAAGACAAAAGTAACCACCTTATCCACGTGAATAGGGAATGAAAAAACTGAATCTAGTTCGTGGTCGATACAAGAGAATTATAGATGAGGCACCGCTCACCATCGACGACTTTCTACAGCGAGCTGAGATGTCAGTCCTGTATATGACATCATGAACAGGGTGGAGAGAAACAGTAATATGAAGTCAACGGTTGCACTGGTGAACAGCGACACTAAGAGTTCGATTTTGAAACTGCAAAAACTTTCATAGGTCTGATATTAAATGTCTAAACTTGGATTTAACATTTATCGTGCACATTAAATAACTTGGCCGTTATCCACGTGAATAGGGAATGAAAAAACTGAATCTAGTTCGTGGTCGATACAAGAGAATTATAGATGAGGCACCGCTCACCATCGACGACTTTCTACAGCGAGCTGAGATGTCAGTCCTGTATATGACATCATGAACAGGGTGGAGAGAAACAGTAATATGAAGGTCAACGGTTGCACTGGTGAACAGCGACACTAAGAGTTCGATTTTGAAACTGCAAAAACTTTCATAGGTCTGATATTAAATGTCTAAACTTGGATTTAACATTTATCGTGCACATTAAATAACTTGGCCTGGCACAACCAAATATTTACGTAGAATGTGAAAAAAACGAGTCCAGTTTTCTAGGGCATATATTTAATAATAATAATAATAATAATAATAATTAATAAATAAAAAATAAACACGACTATATATGCAGGCCTACATAGGGCATATAAAGAAAAACTTCAACAGCAACAGACAACTCCCTCTACAGCATCATAAAGACAATATAGAAATATGCCATCATATACTAAAATGTCTAATTCAATGAAGTGACGATTAAAAAAAAAGAATATACTGTAGAACACGAGAGGAACACAACAAACGTAATGTTTACGGACCTTTCCACATAACGTGTTTTCTAAGATCATTATTAATAGCAAACGTAAACGTATATATTACTTATTAAATTACGTAATTCGTAATTCCATATGTTCAACTTAATCGGATTGGTGTCTGTTGTCTTAATCTCTTTTTACTAAAATTACACAAAATGAACAAGATCAATACATTCAGATCATTCTCCTGTACTGTTCATTTGCGTTCAAGTATTGGCAAAAAAAAGTAATATTTACAAAGAAATTCTTCGTGGCTTGTAAACAAACTGAATTAATCCTACACGTCAGTCAATAAGTTTGCATTTATTAAAAGTTATCTTCATGAATACATTCAGCTGAAGTCGAGGTATAACATCCTAAACTCTAAATCATAAAATCCAGTTCGCAATATTGGATCCTGCAGTAGTTTTTACAAATAGATAGCAAACATGTTATTAACACATGAGATATGTGAAATTGTGCTCCATGATTACCATCCTCTCTTTTCTCAAAATCTTTCAATGGCAGGTTCAAATCTGCGCCAGCAGATTGTGTAACATGTGCGTAAGTTGCATAATGACAATAACAGTTAGATATTACACAGTCAGGTGTTTGACCCTCAAATCAGATGATCTATGACCAAAACAAGTGTTTATATTTGTCGTGGGCAATCATTTATTAACAGTTCATTACCTGCAAGCAGCAAATTATCAGAATACACAAGTTTAATAAAACGCCTGCATTATTTGGAGACATTGTGAAACGGAAGAGGACGTCGCCTAAATTATTAACTCAAATACATTTCTAAAGAAGATACCATTTAAACCTTAAAACAACGCACTGAAAAGAAAGCTTAATTCAAACTGCAAATATCGAACTGCAATGTCCAACCAGGTCAGTGAATTCTTTAAGTGTACGTGCCAGTATCTCAATTCCCCGAAGGGTGGGAGATAAACACGACCACAAAAGTTATATTATTCTCTCACACACACACACACACACACACACACAAGTAGTAGTGGGTTCGAGATAAGAGCAAAAGAAAAAAGCAGCACAAAATAATAATGATAATAGTAATTAATAAAATAAATAAAATAAATAAAAATCTCAGACAACAAAAGGTAAATGCTAATGCAGTACCATGGAAAGCAGCAGTTTGGAGAGAGAGAGAGAGAGAGAGAGACTGAGACTATCCTGTGACAGTAATATCCATCCTTTTAGCTGGATATGAATAAGAAAGATTACCGAAATCGGTATTTGAATCTCTTTATAAGCTAATTTCACAAATGCAACACATCGATAAAAGAATCGCAAAGCAATAAACAAACATACAAATAAACCACGGATTGAAATACAAACTACAGAATCGCCATGTAAACCCAAATTGATGTTAGACACAATGTTGAATGAACTTAAAGGAACACTCCACTATTTTTGAAAATAGGCTCATTTTCCAACTCCCCTAGAGTTAAACAGTTGAGTTTTAGCATTTTCGAATCCATTCAGCTGATCTCCGGGTCTGGCGGTAGCACTTTTAGCTGTAGCTTAGCACAGATCATTGAATCTGATTAGACTGTTAGCATCTCGCTCAAAAATGACCAAAGAGTTTTGATATTTTTCCTATTTAAAACTTGACTCTTCTGTAGTTTCATCGTGTACTAAGACCGACGGAAAATGAAAAGTTGTGATTTTCTAGGCCGATATGGCTAGGAACTATACTCTCATTCCGGCATAATAATCAAGGAACTTTGCTGCCGTACCATGGGTGCAGCAGGCACAATAATATTACGCAGCGCCTGAAAATAGTCCCCAGCTAGGTAACTTCCAATAAGCCTATTTTCAGGCGCTGCGTAATATTATTGTGCCTGCTGCACCCATGGTACAGCAGCAAAGTTCCTTGATTTCCTTGAAAGAGAGTATAGTTCCAAGCCATACCGGCATAGAAAATCACAACTTTTAATTTTCCGTTGGTCTTAGTACACGATGTAACTACAGAAGAGTCAAGTTTTAAATAGGAAAAATAGAGAAACTCTTTGGTCATTTTTGAGTGAGATGCTAACGGTCTAATCAGATTCAATGATCTATGCTAAGCTACAGCTAAAAGTGGTACTGCCAGACCCGGAGATCGGCTGAATGGATTCAAAAACGGTAAAACTAAACTGTTTAACTCTAGGGGAGTTGGAAAATGAGCCTATTTTCAAAAATAGTGGAGTGCTCCTTTAACGTTGAATCAATAGAATGAGACAGATTTCGCAGTAATTTCCAAAAGACCACCACCACTAACATCTTTAAACTCTAAATCAAAAAAAATCATAAAACAACGAATTCCTGATAGCATGCCACATTACTGAAAATTAGCAGGGAAAATAATCAAAATTACATACACAAAAAAGGAAACTATACATTTCAAAAGCCAGACTGACCCTCAAATATGCCCTTACAAAGGAACTACATGAATTTCACGTGCAATCACAAGTTAAAATCACATGTGAAATGTGTGATACACGTTTCATGTGTTTTTCATGTATTTCGCATGTGATTTTGTGTGCAGTGGTCTTTTTAAGACTACAGCCTGTTTCAATACAAGCAAACAGCTTACAACATAAAAATCTAACTTGTTAACCAAGGCCCTTAAATTATTTATACAAAAGAGTATGAGTATATATATATATATATATATATGGCCAGGATGATGATGATGAAGGTCAGGAAGAAAGTGGAAACGGACACCAGCGCGATGATCAAATAAAACGTCAGTTTGGAGCTGCTCTCGTCGCGAGACATGTCTTTCAGTTCTGGAACTTCAGCCAAGTTATCTGATATTAGTAAATATAATGCGCACGTGGCTGAGAGAGAGGGCTGTCCGTTATCTCTCACGGACACAATGAGGTTCTGTTTCATGCTGTCAGATTCAGAAATGTCCCGCTGCGTCCTGATCTCTCCGCTGTGGACACCGATAGTGAAAAGTCCCGGATCTGTCGCTTTAATAATGTGATACGAGAGCCACGCGTTCTGGCCAGAATCCGAGTCCACGGCGATCACCTTGGAGACCAGGGAGCGTGCCTGAGCAGCTTTGGGTACCATCTCGGTCATGAAGGAGTTTCCTTCCGGAGAGGGGTATAATATCTGAGGGGAGTTGTCATTCTCATCCGTTATGAAGACACTCACGGTCACGTTACTGCTCAGAGGAGGAGAACCGTTGTCTCTGGCTAACACGAGCACTTTGAAACTTTTCAACTGTTCGTAATCAAACGACCTCACGGCATGAATGACCCCGGTGTCTCCGTTAATGGATAGGAAGGAGGACACCGGTGCGCCATTGACATCAGAGGACAACAGAGAATAAACTACAGTGCCATTCTGTCTCCAGTCCGGGTCTGTAGCTGATACTGAACAAATAGAGGAGCCCGGTTTGTTATTTTCTTGCACATGAGCTCTGTAACTCTGCTCCTGAAATACAGGTGGATTATCATTCACGTCAGCTACAGTCAGGTGAATATTCTTAGTGGAAGATAAAGGCGGAGAGCCCTCATCAGTAGCAGTAATTGTAATATTATAATCAGAGAGCAGCTCGCGGTCTAATTCACCTGTGGTCACCAGAGAATAGTAATTTTTGATTGAAGGTACGAGTTTAAAGGGGACGTTTTGCTGAATGGAGCAGCGCACCTGTCCGTTATTATCAGAGTCTCTGTCCTGCACATTAATGATGCCAACCTCTGTACCGGGTAACGCATTCTCAGGAACGGGACTGTTAAGAGAACTAACTACTATTATAGGGGTATTATCATTGGCATCAATAACGTCTATTATGACTGTACAATGACTAGCTAGCCTTTGACCATCTTTAGCTTGAATCGGAAGTTCGATTGAACTCTCCTCCTCAAAATCAATGAGTCCCTTTAATTTAATTTGTCCAGACATTGCATCAAGGGAAAATAATTGCCGGACAATTTCAGATAAATGACTAAATGCATAAGTCACTTCTCCATTTTGTCCCTCGTCTGCATCAGTAGCGCTCACTGTCACCACTACAGTATCTAGAGGAGAATTTTCAGGCAGACTGACTTTATAGACGGCCTGACTAAAGACTGGAGCATTATCATTAGCATCCAGCACAGTGACGTGTATGGCTACAGTACCTGATCTCGGTGGAGTCCCGCCGTCTACCGCAGTGAGAATGAATGTCACCTCTTTCTGCTGTTCACGATCTAACTCTTTATTCAGCACGAGCTCGCCATATTTTCTTCCATTTGCACCCGTTACTACACGAAGAAGAAAGTTTTCATTTTCTTGCAACACGTAAGACTGCACTGAATTCATGCCTATATCTGCATCGTGGACCTCATCTAATAAGTAAGGAGATCCTTTTAGTGCTGACTCCCTTATTTCGAATTCAATAACACTCTCTGTGAACTGTGGTGAATTATCATTTATGTCTTCAACATTGAGAATGAAACGATGCAGTTCTAGAGGACTTTCAAGGACAAGCTGCTGATTTATTACACATGAAGCTTTCTTTCCACAAAGCCCCTCTCTGTCGATTCTCTCCGCTACGATCAGTTCTCCAGTATTCAGATTAATGTCACAGTATCGTTTTCTGTTACCTTCAGTATCAATCCGCGCTTTTCGAGATGACAGTCTGTTCACATCGAGTCCGAGATCCTTTGCTATATTTCCAATTACAGATCCGCGTTTCATCTCCTCCGGAAAAGAATAGCTCACGTCTCCATAAACGATGTGCGCCACCAGCACGAAGAACAAAAGGCCAAACATCTCAGCAGTGACACAGACCCTTTGAAATTCTTGAAATATTAACCAGAAATGTAAACCAGTAGTACCAGGCACAAGAAAACAAGCATATAACCCAATTTAGAATAATAGACGTAGGCTAGATAGTTAATGTCGACGATTTTCTAAAAAGAGATTAGATGAAAGCCCTATATGACATCACAAGCAGGGTGGAGAGATGTGTACTGAAGACACACATTGTTTTGCAGGTAAACAGCGACACTACGAGTTAAATGATGAAACTGCATAATGTTCATATCTCTGACAGGATTGTGTGTGGGTTATAGCGAAAATCGTTTAAGCGAAACAAAAGCCGACAGCAACATTCCCTGATGAGTGGGAGATAAACACCACCACAATATTTATAATATTACCAGAATGAATGAATGAATAAGCAAGCACACTGCGAGATCGTGATCTACATCACGTAAGAAAAAGACAGTAAATGTGAATTGACAGTGCACAGACAGCAACAAGAAAACATGCTCTATGACATTTATAATCAAACTAAAAAAAAGTTTAAAAAGTTTGACATACGAAAATGCTTTTATAAGCCAATTTCACATAACTAAGTCATCGATGAAGAAGAATCACAAAACGACTTTAAACCTTTTGAATCTTAAAAAAAGACATTGTTCGCCTCCGCATTAAATCCTTCAAGATCATCCACGGCAGACTGAGTCTTTCTCAGAGTCAGGTTAGCAGTCAGCGTACCTTCATTATAATATGTGACAAAGTCGTATTGCAATTAGTCATAAGCTTATTAAAAAAGCTATTTCACGGCAGATAAAGTTCTCTTTGACAATTAGTAAACAGATAAAAGGTCAGCTACTTCTACAAAATAATTTCTATTAAGGATTCGTTAGCTATAGAGACGAAAAATCAAATACGTATAAACAACGACTCATGAAACATGATTCATTACTTACAATTGCATCTAAATATATATTATACATAGAAGAACTACTCTTTAGACTTAAAAATAAACTTCTAAATCTTTCGGAGCCTGTTGTCAGCGAAAGTAGTCTATTAAAATACTAATTTAATCTGAAAGGATCGAATATTAAAAATACAGCAACGGTTAATTCGACATGAAAAGAAGCACTCATGTTCGCGTCAAGTCCAAAAATCACAAGACCACAAATGTAAAAATTTTATAAACACACTTATTGCATAAGAAAACTTAAATTTGTGAATAAAGCTAATTCATAAACTCTTATATTATATGTCAAAACATGAATACAACACTTTGTTGAAAATAAAATGACTAGAGGGCATAGAACAACCAAACATTCTATGAGAATGTGAAAAGAGAAACAGCTCAACTACTATAAAATGTACTCTTTAATATGTAAGCCTCCAGCAAAACGTCAACAGCAACCCACACGGCCTGTACAGCACCATGGACAGCTAATAGGTCTGCAATAGAAACATTCCCTTTTTACTAAACTCCAAGTAAACTGGAATCTAAAATGAAATACGCATTTAAAGTTGTTTATAAAATTGTTTCAGATAACAGACAGCGAGAGGGATGCGAGGAAGTTAGCATTTCTAAAACCATTAGAACGCATGTTGTCAATAAAAGCAATCTATAACCCCAAAATATAAAAAAAAAAATTTGAAGAAAGACTTCGCTTGTCCTACCTGAAAGGAATTGTTCACTTCCGCCTCAAGCCCTTCAAGATCATCCACAGCGGAAGGAGTATTTTTCAGAGTCAGGTCAGCAGTCAGTGTGCCCTCATTATAAGACCTGACGAACTTGAAGTCACTAGTGCGCGAGCCCGTGGTCAGGTATGCGTCATAATTGTAAGTGCTGCGGAGAGTTCCCGCGCCCTCCACCTCTGCGTAATTTGGAGGAAGAAAACGGGGCTACGCAAAGATTTCACTCGTATCTCAGGAGCATTGTCATTAACATCTGCAAGTTCTATTACAACCTTAGCATCACTAGATAAACCAAATCCATCTTTCCCTTCAACTAGTATTTCGTAAATGGCTTCGTCCTCAAAATCAAGTGCACCTGTAACCCGAATTTCACCTGTACTTTTATTCAAGTAGAAAAGCTTTCTAGCTCTTTCAGAGATACGACTAAACTCATAAGTCACTTCTCCATTTTGTCCCTCGTCTGCATCAGTAGCGCTCACTGTCACCACTACAGTATCTAGAGGAGAATTTTCAGGCAGACTGACTTTATAGACGGTCTGACTAAAGACTGGAGCATTATCATTAGCATCCAGCACAGAGACGTGTATGGCTACAGTACCTGATCTCGGTGGAGTCCCGCCGTCTACTGCAGTGAGAATTAATGTTACCTCGTTTTGTTGCTCACGATCCAATTCCTTTTCTAGCAGTAATTCCAATTTTTTTTCTCCGTCTACATTTGAATTTATACTCAACTGAAAATTGTCATTCTTCTGTAGACTGTATCTCTGAATTGCATTCTGTCCTATATCAGCATCATGAGCCGCATTCAAACGATAGCGAGAGCCTCTAACAGCAGACTCCCTAATTTCAAATGTGATCAAATTCTTTGAGAAAACAGGCGAATTGTCATTAATATCCTGAATTTGAACTGAAACATGATGCAGCTCTAATGGATCTTCTAGCATGAATTCAAATTTTAAAACACATGAAAGCCTGTCCCCGCAAATCTCCTCTCTGTCAATTCTCTCCGCTACGGTCAGTTCTCCAGTATTCAGATTAATGTCACAGTATCGTTTTCTGTTCCTTTCAGCATCAATGCGAGCCTTACGAGATGACAGTCTGTTCACATCGAGTCCGAGATCCTTCGCTATATTTCCAATCACAGATCCGCGTTTCATCTCCTCCGGAAAAGAATAGCTCACGTCTCCATAAGCGGTGTGCGCCACCAGCACGAAGAACAAAAGACCAAACATCTCACCAGCAACACGGAACCTTTGGAATTCTTCAAATATTAACCAGAATTTGAATCCCGTACTATAATAATTTCCATGTACAAGAAAACCAGTATAAAATCCTATTTATAACAACAGATGTAGATTATATCAGGCAGGAAGTCGGTGTCAACGATTTTCTATGAAAAAAAGAGTAGCTGAAAGCCCTATGTATGACATCACAAGCAGGGAGGAGAGATGTGTACTGAAGACAAACATTGTTTTGCAGGTAAACAGCGACACTATGAGTTAAAAGAAGAAACTGCCCAATGTTCATATTTCTGCAGGGTTGCGTGTGGGTTATACAGTTTTACAGCGAAACAACAGCCGGCAGCAACACTACCTGATGAGTGGGAGATAAACACGACCACAATATTTATAATATTCAAAAAATATATATAAAATAACGAATGACAGTGCAGCACAATGGACAAAAACTGGAAAACCTGCTTTATGACAGTTCTAATCCGAGTAAAAGAGCGTTTAAAATTTGCTGACATAAACTGCTTTTATAAGCCAATTTCACAAAGAAGACACAGATGAGAAGGACGTCAAATTCCTTAAAAGCAGCAGTGTTTTGTCTCAGATTCCGTTACATACTGATGTCGCAAAAATAAAATGAGTTTGAAAGAACTATTAGACAACAGAACGAGATATATCAGATTCCTTTCTTTAAAAGATAACCAAACATCTTTAAACGTTTAGAAGCTAACAAATAGCTACACAGTATTTGGCATTTATCAAGGCATATATAATTGTCTCATTGACAATTTGTAAAACAGAAAGAAGGGGCAGTCACTTAAGCATAATTTATATTAAGGATTCCTTAACTAGCAACGAAAAAAATAAAAAATAAACTCGTGAGCCAGGATTTATGACTTTAGATTTTTTTTGTATGGTCATGTTTGAGCAATTTAAAGAGAACATATAAAACTAGCTACTTCTAAGCCTTCAAAATGAGCTTCAAAATTTTTAAGAACCTGTTGTCAGTGCAGACAGTCCATTAAAATAAACACACTAATTTAATCTGTAAGGTTAGAAAATTAAAAAAGTAAGAAAAGAAACGTTAAATCGCAAAGCACCACCCAATCTGCATCAAGTCCTTCCAAAAAAATAACAAATAACAAATGTATATGACAAGATGAACTAATGTAACCATGTCATAAAGAATACAACAGCCACAAACACGGCCTGTACAGCACCATGGACAGCTAATAGAAATATGCCCTATCTACTAACTATAGTGAACTGGGATTTAAAAAGAAATACGAAATTAAATTAGTTTATCAAATTGTTTCACAGAACAGACAACGAGATGGATGCAAGAAAGTTACCATTTCTAAAACCATTAGAAAGTATGTTGCCAATAAAAGTAACTTGCAAACCCAAAATATTAAAAAGATTAAAAAAAAAATACTTCGTTTGTCCTACCTGAAAGGAATCGCTCATTTCCGCATCAAGTCTTTCAAGATCATCCACAGAGGACTGAGTCTTTTTCAGAGTCAGGTCAGCAGTTAAACTTTTCAGCTGTTCGTAATCAAACGACCTCACGGCACGAATGACCCCGGTGTCTCCGTTAATGGATAGAAAGGAGGACACCGGTGCGCCATTGAGATCAGAGGACAACAGAGAATAAACTACAGTCCCATTCTGTCTCCAGTCCGGGTCTGTAGCTGATACTGAACAAATAGAGGAGCCCGGTTTGTTATTTTCTTGCACATGAGCTCTGTAACTCTGCTCCTGAAATACAGGTGGATTATCATTCACGTCAGCTACAGTCAGGTGAATATTCTTAGTGGAAGATAAAGGCGGAGAGCCCTCATCAGTAGCAGTAATTGTAATATTATAATCAGAGAGCAGCTCGCGGTCTAATTCACCTGTGGTCACCAGAGAATAGTAATTTTGGATTGAAGGTACGAGTTTAAATGGGACGTTTTGCTGAATAGAGCAGCGCACCTGTCCATTATTCTCAGAGTCTCTGTCCTGCACATTAATGATGCCAACCTCTGTACCGGGTAACGCATTCTCAGGAACGGGACTGGTGAGTGATTTAAGTATTGTTATAGGGGCGTTATCATTGACATCAATAACATCTATTAATACCGTGGAGTAACTGGCTAACCCCTGACCATCTTTAGCTTGAATGGGAAGTTCAAATGTACTCTCTATCTCATAATCAATCAGCCCAGTTAATTTAATCTCGCCAGATACTAAATTGATGAAAAATAATTGCTGGACCTTTTGAGGTAAATGACCAAACGCATATGTAACTTCTCCATTTTGTCCCTCGTCAGCATCAGTAGCGCTCACTGTCACCACTACAGTATCTAGAGGAGAATTTTCAGGCAGACTGACTTTATAGACGGTCTGACTAAAGACTGGAGCATTATCATTAGCATCCAGCACAGTGACGTGTATGGCTACAGTACCTGATCTCGGTGGAGTCCCGCCGTCCACCGCAGTGAGAATTAATGTTACCTCTTTCTGCTGCTCACGGTCTAACTCTTTATTCAGCACGAGTTGGCCATATTTTCTTCCATTTGCCCTGGTTAGTACATTAAGAATAAAGTGTTCATTGTTTTGAAGTGTATATGACTGCACTGCATTCCGACCAATATCCGCATCATACGCGTCTTCTAGTAAGTATGATGAACCTTTGCCTGCTGATTCTCGTATTTCGAATTTAATAACACTTTCTTTGAACTGAGGTGAATTGTCATTTATGTCCTCAATATTGAGAATGAAGTGATGCAGCTCTAAAGGATTTTCCAGTACAAACTCATTTTTAATAACGCATGAAGCTTTCTTCCCGCTAATCTCTTCTCTGTCGATTCTCTCCGCTACGATCAGTTCTCCAGTATTCAGATTAATGTCACAGTATCGTTTTCTGTTACCTTCAGTATCAATCCGCGCTTTTCGAGATGACAATCTGTTCACATCGAGTCCGAGATCCTTTGCTATATTTCCAATCACAGATCCGCGTTTCATCTCCTCCGGAACAGAATAGCTCACCTCTCCATAAGCGATGTGCGCCGTCAGCACGAAGAACAAAAGACAAAACATCTCAGCAGTAACACAGAACCTTCGGAATTCTTGAAATATTAATTAGAAATTGAATCCAGTATTACCACGCACAAGGACCATATAACCCAATTTACAACAATAGACGTAGATAATATCAAGCAGTCAAGTCGCTGTCGACGATTTTCTATAAAGAGATGGGATGAAAGCCCTATATGACATCACAAGCAGGGTGGAGAGATGTGTACTGAAGACACACATTGTTTTGCAGGTAAACAGCGACACTATGAGTTAAATGAAGAAACTACATAATGTTCATATCTCTGGCAGGATTATGTGTGGGTTATAATCCTTTAGCAATACCACAGCCGGCAGCAACATACCCTGATGAGTGAAAGATAAACACGACCACAATATTCATTATATTTCAATCAATCAATTATTCAATACATACATACATACATACATACATACATACCTATATATATATATATATATATATATATATATATATATATATATATATATATATATATATATATATATATATA